TTTCCTTGTTGAGTCTAGTTTTTCTCGTTGGGTCCTGGTGAGTTTTCTCCCTAGCAGCTGATCTTGTCTCTTGCCTTTGCAGGAAGGATTTTCCTGGTCTGTAGCAGTGGATGACTTTGTTTTATGTTCTTTACAAGCAAATCCTTCTCCTCCCATCTATTCACAATTCCTGCAGGCCATGGCACCCTATCCGTATTTCCCTTGATACTCCGTAATTTCCCAGATCTTTATGTCAGCTCCTAACCATGTTAAAATGAGCCTCCTGCCAGTGGCCCTTGTTTGACCCTAAGTTGATTGCCAAATACAGAGTAGACAAACAGCACAAATGAGGAAGTCAGTTTGACTTAAAATAACATCTAGTGCTTCAGAAATTCAAGGCTGTTCTCTGTGCTCTCCCCGCAGTGATGAGCACCCTGCGAGGACAGGAGAGTGACTCACTTTCACAGGAGCAATTAATAGGTCCCAAAACAGAGGCCTAAGTTTTTAGCAGTTATTAAAAAAAAAAAAAAAAAAAAAAAAAAAAAAAAAAAAAAAAAACTCCATCTCATTAGCTTTATTTCATGCTGGAGGAGGGCATTATTGTAAATAATTTTACAAGATTCAGTAAAAAATACTCTGCTTGCATGGCCAGCATATCTCTGGTGATTCATGTTACCTGTGCCTCATGCCTTTCCAGTACCATTTTATGCCTTTCCTAGGGATGTCACAACTGTACAGACTTCACCAGTGCCAGAGCACAATGAGTTGTTTCTTCTTTCTGTCCTTGTTTGTGCCTTCAAGGCTTCAGATCTCCTTGAACCCTTCCCTTTCTTTCTTTAACTCCCTATCTATCCTATATAGTTTCTACTAGTTTTGGATGTGTCTATATGGCACTGCCTTTTCATTTTTAATTTTAAGGTTCTGAAGTTCAGTTAGTTTGCACAATAAGATCTAATCAAAAGCTTAACAAAGGAAAAAAATAATAATTTCAGTGAAAATTCACTAAAGCACACTAGCTGAAAAATTTTTGGAGCTGGATGGATCCAAGCTGGATGGATCCAAGAGAACTTTTATGTTCTCTGGTCATCTCTAGATATTTGTCACTTCTAAAACTCTTACCCGATAAGGATTTAGATCATCATCTTAACAACAGCCATATAGTTATTTTGAGATATTTCAGAACAAAAGCTCTATCTGACATAGAATTATGTAACTGCAAATTTTCTCTTACCTGTCATTTTAGCCATTGTCTGACACTTACTGGGTGAGAGATTTCAAGCTATTCTGTCTTTAGAATCTCAGACTGAGTTGAAAAATGGATTGCATTAAGTCTACGCTTGCCACATTATAAATACATCCTTATTTTGGAATTCCATCGTTGCTATGGCAATGTGTAGTCTGCAGGCTTCAACTAGAGAGATCCACAGCCGCTCATGTGGCAGAGTGATTTGCTAGTAATTATGGCCCTTTTTGCCTTCAACCCTGTATACCCTGGTGTAACGTGCACAGCAGCCCTTGGAAATCAGAAAGGATTTCTGATTTCTAATCAGAAAATAGCGCGTGTTGTTTGTCCTTCCTATGGAAGTGCTCTCTTGGTGAGCTTTGGGAAGACTAAGGAGGAATTTCTCCTGAGTATTGCCTCCTCCAACATGAAGAGCTAGCAGGGTAGAGTTGTTCTGCATAGCTTTGTTGAACAAAGTGCAAGCACATGGAGAGGCCAAGGATGGAGCGCTCCCAGGCTCCAAGCCTGAGTCCAGGTTGCCTGGGGTGGCTCTCTGGCCCTGGGGCTGGTTGCTGCCCAAGGCTGGGATCCCTGGGGTGAAGCTCTTCTATACCTCAGGTAGAGCAGCCATGTCCAGACTTCCCATGGGGAATGGACCCCAAGCAGTGCTTGTTCCTGAACCATAGAATCCTTAAGGTTGGAAGGGACTTCTAGAGATACACTTAATAAGTGTATTTCCTAAATAGTGTATTTCCTAAATTTTCCTAAATACAGCCTAGCCACCAGCCCTGGGCAGAGGTGACATGGAAGAACAGGTATATTCTCAGTAGCAGCACAGAATCACAGGATCACAGAGTGTTCAAGGTTGGAAAGGACCTCTAGAGATCATCTAGCCCAACCCCCTGCTCCAGCAGGGACACCCAGAGCACGGGGCACAGGGCAGCATCCAGGCAGGTTTGGAGACCTCCAGAGAAGGAGACTCCACAACCTCCCTGGGCAGCCTGTTCCAGGGCTCTGTCATCCTCACAGGACAGAAGTTCTTCTTCACATGGAGATGGAACTTCCCGTGTTTCAATTTACACCCATTGACCCTTGTGACTGGACCTCATTCCTACCCCCATGATGCAGTTTATCCATAGGGCTCATCTGTGGCATTAATAGCATCACTTCCTGTGTTGCAGCCTGCACCCTTGTCCTGTCACTGGCCTCCATTATGCAGAACTTGGCCCCTTCCTCCCTACATTCCCCCTTCATGTACTTATACATGTTAATCAGATCCCCTCTCAGCCTTCTTTTCTCCAGAGAAAACAGGCCCAACTCACTCAGTCTCCCCTCATACAAGAGATGTTCCAGTCCCTTAATCATCTTTGTTGCCCTCCGCTGGACCCTCTCTAGAAGCTCCATGTCGCTCTTAAGCACCTTGCACTGACACTTTGCAGCATGATGAAGCTGAAGCTAAAGTTGCAAAAGTTTTGCAAAAGTTACATCTTTGTGATCTTACACACTGCCCCGAATGGACTGCTTGTGACTGCCTTCTGAAACCTCAACTCTTTCCATATCTGCACCATTAAGCAGTAATAAGCTGATGCTTTGGGGCAGCCTCATTTGCTTTGCTCGGGGAAGAAGGGATCATTACTGCCCAGTTCCCTGCATGAGGCTCAGCACGCTCTATGCCAAGGAATAAATTCTGAGGTTATCACACAGAGAAGGCCCTGAGTTTCTAATTCTTCCGCTCTCTGAATTCTTCCCAGTTGCTGTTGAGTGATAAACATGAAAGTATTTTCACATTTTTACTGATGAAAACACTTTTTGTTCTCGTTCCCACACATAACTGGCTATCCTCTTTTAGATAATGTGCTATATTATACATGCTGTTAGAAAGAAAATGGAAAGAAGATTCTTCCTGTAACCTATTTGTACTTCTCTACAGTAATTTATGGGACTGAGAAAAATCCCACAGCACAAAACCCCAGTAGATATTTCCATTGGTTTTGCATATAATCTGCTATTTAAAATTTTGATTGAGATTATCTCTCTAATTTGCAGGCCTATATATGTAAATCAAAACCACTAAGTGTTATGTCTGGCTAATAGCCAGAAAATCTGAATCTCAATTAGCAGAAAATGCAACAAAGGAAATTTTCCTCTATCAGTAAGCAGGAAATCAGGGGCTCTACAGGACTTTGCTCAACATGTCTGTGATTCTTCAGTACTATGAAAACTTCTGATGCTGAATAGCATCATGCCAATTAATGCAAGTTTTTTACACGGCAATACACTGCTGTGTAATATTACTGACAGCAAATCTTAGAGCATTAGCAAAAGAGGCTATTTTTAATAAAGAATAAAAAAAAACCAGCAGAAACTCACAAAATTCTCACCATGCACCACTTTTTTTTAGAGACACTGTTTTGCTTGACTTGAAAGTCTTAAAAAAATCCTCCATGTATTGCATGTGAAACCTCTCTAAAAAGCTAGCTAGATATTATTTTACTTATGGGAACTGCACTCAGTGCAATTAAAGCTCAAAGCGAAGTTATATCACTCTTTTATAAACCAAGGAATGTATTGTGGGAGGTTTTAATGGAAAAATTGACTCAACCTGTATTTAAGGACTAACTAGGGCAAGCAAGTCCTGTGATGGGGTGTAGCCCAAAACACACGTGCTATTTTTATTATAGGTATGTCTCATTAATGTGAAGCAATTCTTTGGCATTAGAGAGAAAGAAAATGTGGCTTTTGGGATCCTCTTCTGCTGCCCACCTTGAGGCCAAGTATTTTGAAGTGTTTAGGGTCATATTCTCAAAAGTATTTAAGTGCCCATTTACTGTTGGTAGCTGAGATGCTTACAAGTCCCTCAGCGTCTGGTGGTTGGGAGTTAGATGGACAGGAACATGGAAAAAGGAATTATTCAATGAAAGGATGATAGTTGCATTCATCCTCCTAAAAATGAAAAATATGTTGCCAGACCATCCAAAATGATCTACAGTTACTTGAATCTATAGCAGAATCTCATTAAAACTAGATTTTATGGGGGTCTTCCCTGAAGTTTGAATAGCTGAACTATAGGGACTTAGGGACTGCAGGAGAATTTTGGCTTTCTCATTTAAAAGCATCTCTGTTACACTTGGGAGTTGCAGTGAAAAATGTAAATATGTTGGCTAAATTAAAAAAAAAATAAATAAAATGGAGGATTGAAGGTCATACTGGTGACCTTAGAGCAGGAATGGCAAAAATAATAACCCCAAATTCTGCTTTATCAGAATTAAAGTAGGTTTAAGGCATCATGACGGGCTCGTTCATGAAGTGTCCAAGTCCGACAGCCTCCTCTTTCGGGGCGCCCTGCTCCCCCCTGTCCCTTTGCCGTCCCTCGTGCCCCTGGTGACAAAGTCACGTCCCCTGCAGTGTCATTTCGGGGTACGTCGCCCTCCGGGCCACGCTCTGGGAGTTGGGAGACACTTCAAGATGCAGCCTGGATGCAGCGGCCGGGGGGATGCGGCACCTCCGCTGCATCAGGGGAAGGAAACTTTCCTTCCCCGCTCCCCGCGCCTTCCTCTGCGATGCTCCGGATATTTTTGGGAGGGCGGAAGAGCGAGGAAGGAGCAGCGGCCGCCAGGGCATCCCTGGCTGCGCTCGCACCTCGCCTGGGCGGTTCAGGGCCGGAGCTGGGGAAACTCCTCCCCTTCCCCCTGCTTCTCCCCCCGCCGTATTTCCTAAGGCCATAAAAAATAAGGAAAAGAAATATACAAAAAAATAAGGAGCCCGGAGTAACTGGGGACGGCGGCAAAGGAGCCTTCCTTCCTCTGCGGATCCAGTGCTCAGCACCTCGGCTAAAGGGATGGGAAGCCCTGCCATGGACAGCAAGAAGAAAGATGCCTCTGGCAGCAGGAAAAGCTCCAGCCAGAAGAAACTCATGTTGCGGGTGCACATTCCCGTAAGTGCTGCGCGCGCGGGCGCTGCTGCCTGTTTTTCCTGAGGTTTGGCACAGCTGGAGGCAGGCAGGGAGCTGTGTGTTCCGCGCTCCACACGGAGGTGCCGGGTTTGGGGGAAGCTGGAAGTGCAGACTGTGCAACAGGCAAGTCCTGGACTTTTGGGAAGGGCGGGAGCCCGGGAGGCTATTCCGGACTAGGATCTCCAGGTCTCCATGCTGGGAGTCCAGGGGACATTGTCCTGCTTGGAATTCCTGCTGCACCGAGTTCCTCTGCCCTGGGAGGCAGAGACTCACGCTCAGAGAGGGTCAAACTGCCACCCCCAAACAGCGGCTTTGACAAGCCCAGCTTGGGCTCTGGGAACTGTCCCTGCCTTGTGGCTGAATCGGAGCATTAAATCCGCCTCTTCCGTGTCTCAGGACTAATCCCCAGGCAAATCTCGCAGGACTCCAGAACTTGGAGCCCTCTCAGGTTTAGTCCCAGGACATCTATTTCTTGCTGGAAGAGCAGGAAGAGCCAACGTTGCCACGCAGGGGGAGCAGGCAGGGAGCCCTGCACGCTGCCACGCTGCCTCCCTTCCCTATGTTCACACTGTACAGACGGCTGCAAGCAGCTATAGCATACACATATAGAAACTTTTTGTCCGTGGCTGTTCTGATTGCAGTAGGTGCTAAAGGACTGGCTTCTCTGGGTCCTTAGAGTTTACAGCCCTTTCCAAACTTTGGATTTTGTTTTTCTTTACTATTAACACAGGATATTCTTGTTATTCATGTAAACAATCTTTTTTTTTTTTATTATTTATTGTTACTGTTATTATTAATTTCAGTCCCAATGTGCTTTTGGCTTCAGTGCTTCTGGCAAGAAATCGTTTAGTCCCTGCTCCATAACTGTGGAGACAGATCTAAGTGTGTCCCTGCCAGGCCACCAGAGACCAAACAGATAGTTCTGTTTTGAAGCCTTTCCTTTGTTTTAGAGCAAAATGGGAAGTGAAAGCAAATTTATTAGGTGTCTTGAGCATGTGGAGTAAAATGGAGGTGAAATACCAAGTTCCTCTGTAGTCTTGGTGTTTCCCTGGGGTGAATGTGAGCCCTGGAGCGAGTCCCGGACTTGTGCTAGTTTGTTGGAGTGCCTTCAAATCCGGGAGAAATGGATCCGTTTCTGCTAATGTGGGTGCTCCCCGTGCATTTGGGACTAATCTTAGCGCTCTTCCTGTATCATCCTTCACAGTAGGGTTATAAAATATGAAGAAATAAGATGCACTACAGCAGAGGGCCAGTCATGCTATGTTCCTTCCTCCTTTTCCTCTTACCTGCTGCTTTGCCTCTGCCACTCCTTTCCATAGTCCTCAGCCTATGACCCAGTCGAGCCAGGAACTTCTGTGCAACTGTTTGTAATTCTGCTCAGAGAACCTGCATTTTCCCCCTGCTGAAGAGCTCCAGGTAGCCTGGGAGATGCTGGTCTAGCTGCGTGATTCTTCAGGATCCATCCCATGTCTTCTGGAAACCCGCCAACCACCCCACAGCTCTGGCCACACCACTAATAATAGCAGTTTTGCCATTTTAAGGTTATGAAGCTAAGATAAAGAACAGTGACTCAGTAATTTGTTCAAACTTAAGGATTTTTGATGAGTGAAGGCTAATGCTTTCTCATAATCACCTCTCTTGGCCTGTAGACCGTCTTTCTTCAGGAGAGTTGTTGACGCAGTTTGGTCTTGAAGAGAACAGCAGTAGAAACGGGCCATAATTTTTCATGTTCATTAATCTTTTGAGTTTCTTTACTCTGCAGTTTGTCACCTAGGTAATGGCAGTTACTCACAAGCCTGTAAATGTCTGAGATTGCACAGAAGTCAACATGAGTGTTACTGTCCAGCTGGTTGGGGGTGATTCAAGAGTTGATATTGAACTAGCCCCATCCATCCCTCCTTTCCATCCCCAGGATATTACCCTTTGGTTTCATTCTGCATCATTCCAGCATTTCTGGAATGGACCATTGGGTCTTTCAAGTTGTATTCCCATTCTTAGTGGTCTTCTATTATCTGGCGGTTGAAATTTGACTGTGCTACAATAAAGAACATTTTTCTCATTTGATGGTGGAATCTGCATTTGAAAAGATCCATTTAGACTGTTTCCCCCCACCTCGCCCTTTCATAGCATTTTCTTGGCTCTTGTTTTGAAGCATCATTCATATTATTTCAGTGATGCCTCTCAGTGTAACTATAGGTGTGAGGGGAGCTTTCACCAGACAATAATTTTTGTTTTGTTCATCCTCTTCTTTGTTTTGCTCTGAGATCATATTTACTTCTGAAACCTGTAAATCTTGGTCATTGAGGTCTTCAAATTAGGAAGAGAAGAATGACTAATGAGTAGGATGAGGGAGAGGAGTTAAATCTAGAAGAGAATCAGTGGGACAGAAAGGTACTGCTGTGATTCAGGCAAGCCTTAAAGTATGTGTTTATTAGTCATGTAGGAATCCTGACTTAAAAAGTGGTGATAAATTTTTTGGGAAAAAAAAAATGAATGCCACAAAATACATCACAATGAGTGGGAATGTCTGCAAAGAAACTTAGCATGCTTTTCTTCTCTCTTCCATTTATTTTTATTTTCTGAGTTTTCTGTGACAGAGGGAACAAATTGATAAATTTAAGAAAACTAGTTTTGTATTGTGCAGCCTCCAGGGCATTTCACAGGTAAATTTTTCAAGCAAGATCAGCAAGCCATGGCACAAAAAGCCTGAAAACACTTTGTTTTCACTTTCTTCCTGTGCCAAATCTTATTCAGCGCATGCCTGTCTGCGTCCCAGAAGTTTTGCTCCTAGCAATAGGGGTAGAGCACTAAATTTTTCACTAAGCATTAGGAGTAGAGCAGTAGATTTTGAAATGAGAGAGACACAAACTGGAATTTCTGAATATCCTTGAAATCTGTAGATGTGGATACATGCATCTTCTCTCTAGATGCAGCCCATCTCTAACATGAAAGTGTTAGCATTACAGATTTCTTTTTAAGCCATTAGAAGATAATGAAATCTACATTTAATACATGACTTGCTTTGAACTTAGCTTAAAAACCCTGTTTTTAAAGACAGGATGTGATTGCTGAGTAGGAGCTCCCAGTGGTGAGATCAGGATGTTCTTTTGTCATCTCACAGAACTGGCCTGTTCTGATGTTAACATAACTGTTGTAACTCCTTGTTGCTGTGAAAAAGGAGAGATTCTGCTCTGGGTAATTCAGCCGGGGCCAATAAAGCTATTTTGTATTTATACTAGTGGAACTGAAAGCAGAATCTGTCTTGATATCTGTAAATGACTACAAAAACATTTCCCCCCTCAGGCCAGTGAAGTATCTATTGTTTCTGATGCTTCTGCCCTGGCAGTAGAGCCAGCACAATTAAAAGTTGCTCTTGGAGATCATGGTCCTTTATTACACGTGTCACCAAGCATCCTTGCACACCTCTTTTTTCCTTCATTTTCTCTGCTGGCTACTGTGATTTTGAGCAGATTTCTCAATGTGCAAATTTATGGGTGTTTCCAGCCCTGTTGTCATGTCAGGATGCCAGGCTGGGATATCAGATGACTCAAATATTTCTAGCCCATGAGATTCCAACGTTGTTCTCCCAGCTTGTGTTGGCTCCAGCTCTGTCCCTCCATCTTGCTTTCCACACTTGCAAAGTCATTAATGGCCACACGCCTAATAAATCACTGTGAAATGGTTTTGTCCTTTCACTGTTTCTGCTTTTCTCTTGGTAATTGCTGGGTGTGCTGCTGAGAGCTGCTCTTCAGCTTAATGGGCTCTTCAGAAAGCAACATATGAAGAACGAGCTGGTGAAGTCTTTCAAAGGGAGATGAGGAAATCTGCTTCCAAGGTTATCTAACAAGGAAAAATATTTGTTTGTTTGTTTGTTTGTTTTTCTGGAGAAAAGGAGGTAGGGAGATTGGGAATCAAAGGGGAGGAAAGATAAATGCTTCCCTAAAATTGTATCTGCATTGATCCTCCCCTTTGCACTCATAGGCAGACTCTTTGAGTTGTCCTGAGTTTCAGGGCCATGGTGTTCAAATCCTGATTCCTCCCTAAAGTGCTGAGATGTTAAGGATCTGAAGAGGGCAAGAGATATTTGCCCAGGAGCTTTGAGATTGCCCTCCGAATCTACCTGAAGGAAAAAAGGTTTGATGTTGGCAGTCATAAGAGCTGCCACTCTAATTAAGGGAGGTGTTAGTCTTTGGCTTGAACACACGACATAAACTGGTTATTAGTTAAGGCTCATTGGAAGTGCTCCTTCTTTATAACATCACTTTTTTCACCACTCTTTAGGAGAGTCTACTCCTAAATTGTCTCATCCAACCTTCTTTATACCTGTGAGGACTGTAGGCTAGTTGGAAAGAAGCTGTTTTCCCTGCAGGAATATGTAACGGATGAGGAATAGGATCTTGGCCTCCAGGGTGGATGTTCACATGGTGCTTATTGGGTTTTACTGAAGTAGAATAAAATGTCAGGCTCCTTAAGGGATCAGGAGGGAGGCAGAAAGTCACCTTTGAAGGTGAGAGTGAGCTAAGAGGAATGAAAATGAGTTAGGGAAATTGTAGTCCACTGCCAACGAAGATTCGTGATGCTAAATGTTAAATCACCTTTCATAGTTCCCATCATGTAAGGTTAGTCTTTCCCTTTTTTAGAGAAAAGGTGCCATTGAACCAAGCTGTATCTGCCTCAATGACTCTGTGATTGAAAACCCCTCTAAAATATTTCTTTTTCTCCATGTGTCTGTCCAAAGATATGAGAAAAACAACTACATTCTTTCCTTCTTGCCAATAATAAATACTCTATGGTTAACGAGTGCCCCTCTTTGTGATTGGGGGCGGTTTGAGGGCCTGTTCACAGCCCTGCAAGACTCAGCTCCTGCCCAGTTTCCCGTTGGCACCACGTTGAGTTCAAGGCACCTACTCACATGTGACTGAAAGCAGAATTGGGCCCTGCAGACAGGATTGAAAAATGGTTTTGTTAATGATGTATAGGCG